ACTCACATTATTTCTTAAACTTAACCAAAATAACCCACATTATTTATGGAGCTATAGCAAAATAACTCACTATTTCTGAAACTGAACCAAATAATCCATACTATTTCTAGAACTACAACAAAATAACCCATACTATTTCTGAAACTACATCAAAATAATCACACTATTTATGAAAGCGAACCAAAATAACCCAAACTATTTCTGGAACTACACCAAAATAACCCACCATATTTCTGAAACTACAGCTAAATAACCTCCACTATTTCTGAAACTTAACCAAAATAACCTACATTATTTATGGACTACATCAAATTAACCCATACTATTTCTGAAACTAAACCAAATCAATCCATATTATTTATGAAATTATAGCAAAATAACACACATTATTTCTGAAACTAAAAAAAAATACTATAGATTACCACTAATTTAATTACAATACTATGGATGATATAGTCAATCCCAATGTGATGCAAACTTATGGTAGTTTAATTATATAATTTCCAAAAAAATATTAGAAGTGATCTAATCTTTTCGATAAGGAATAAAAAAGCATTAATATGATAGCACTAGCCAGACAACTGTTTTCACCTATCACAAGAGAATTATACATTCAAAATAGAAAATAACAAACAAAAGGAATCAGTCAACATCATAATGCTGAAATCTGTTAATCGATATGGGATGAAGCTGGAGAGGTGGCTGGGAAGGGGAGCTCAAATAATTCCTTGTGATTTGGAAAGTGCCAAACAAAAGGGCATCATGTAATAAAATTAGACCCGGAAGTTTCTGACACGACACGAAAATGACACGAAAACAACGGGTTTCGGGTCAACACAATAACTTATCAGGTCATTATTGGGTGACTTAATGGGTATATACACGGGTAACACGTGGGTAACCCGTTTCGACCCGTTAAGAAAAAATTTATTTTGATAATTTTAAAGTTTAATTACTAAAAGATTTATAAAATACAATAGCCATATTAATATACTAGCCTTTCTGCACGCGCTTATGCGCGTGCGAAAGACTTTTTTTTACATCACGGCACGCTACGCGCGGCATCTAGAGTCATTTTTTCTTTTTACATTCACTCATGCATAAAGACATTGTTATAGTTACAATGTGCTAAGCGCAACGTACATTGTTTAATTATAAAATTTGGACTTGTCAAGAGACATTCTTTCATTTATTTTTTTATTTTTTTAGGCTAAAAATTTGTATGAACTTTTGCACCATTAGATTTAAATTAAGATATTGCAAGCCTCTAAACTTGAAAAGAGAGAAGCACATAAACGAAATTAAGCTAAACATGATGTTCACGATCAATCTCCCATATCACAAATGCCACAAAATTGAAACTTTATGTCCAAATGATAGCAAAAAAGTCACATATCAATACACCATTTAAATTATCATCAAACTGAGTAAATAAACTGCACAAAAAGACAACCTTAATATACAAAAATGTATATTAAGCATTTTAAGCATAACATAATTAAAATGTTAGCTAAAAAATAAAGAAAAATCATATCGACAGTAAATTAAGCATAACATAATAAAAATGTTAGCTAAAAAGGAGAAACCAATATCCACATACATGCAAACCAAGACATGTTTCTCCTCTTCCTTGCCTGTGCAAAGTATTACTCCATCATATCTTTTCTTCCCTGAAACCATCTCTATTCCAAGCATTCGTAAACCAAACTTTGTGATAATTCCAAGTTCTGAGTGGTAGCAATTTGAAACAAAGGGCAACACAATTAATGGAATTAGTGTCATTTTGTATCCAATACAATACCTTAATAAAATTAAACCATAAATTGTTAACATAGTAGTGCAACACAATTAGGGGTTTGTGAAATCACGAAAAAAATAAGATAAAAATACACATTAGTGTAACTTAAAAACTTGATAGCAATATCTTCGTCACTCAAGATTAATGAGTACATCCACCTTGCATTACATAAGTAATCAATATAAATTGGAAACCATCATATTAAAATGGACAGTGAAACTAAAATCCCCCCCCCCTTTAAATTCTGCAAAAATGAGTAGCCATTATTTAACTAATAAATTAGTACGTATATAATAATGAAGTTAACAGAAATTTTCATACTACTTGCAATAAAACAAATGGAAGGGGGGCTGAAACCTTTCATAGTCGGATGGTGCAAAATATACATTTTCAGTATTTTTCCTGTCAAACGAACTTCAAAACTGATTATACCAATTAATTTTTTTCAAACGTTCACTTACCCAGAAACCAAAAATGAAAATTTTATTAAATTAATTAAAATAAACTCATTGGAAAAAGGAACATAAAAATGAAAATTTATACTAATTAATTTAAATAAGCTAATTCGCAGGAGGAACATAAACAACCATTTGACTTAATCTAAAGAGATACAAACTAAAAATACTGAGATTAAGATTGACAGGAGGAAATGATTGAGAATTGAGAATAAAAGATAAAGATTGAGAGTTGAGAAGTTGTACCGAGGAAGACTTTTTGTCAATTTATCTCTCTGTTTCATCCTCTCTCGCGCCCTAGTTCTCTTCTTCTTCTTTATTTCTGCAATGAACGGATAAACAATTTGCTATAAAAAATATATTTATGTAATTAGATAATATGTAGTGAACCTGGTTGAGAAGAAATTGGGAATTTCGTAAGATTGAGACTCTGTGCACGTTTCTCTTTTCTGATTCTTGAATTTAAATGAGATTTGTGGAAGGATTTATCAAACTGCTTTTTGCTCAACGGGGGTGCAGTTTTCAGTTTCCACGTTCTATTTTTTATTTGAGGGATTTATCAATTTTTTCCCAATAAAATAAAATTTTAAAATTTTTATACATGTATATGGGATAATAATCTCTCTCCTAAAATGGAGGAGGAGTGGGGTTATTGCCCCCTTTTCTAGTGAGATTTAATACACGTCTTCCCCTTATTTTATTTTATTTTTATTTTTTGCTTCTAATAAAATGAATTTTAGATTTATATTTTTTTACAAAATTGCCCTTGTGTGTTTTCATGTATCAAATTTGGTCAGTTCTATTTTTTTTTGTTTAAGGGGCTTTTCGGTCCAATTTTTTTTGGTGAAGCCTTGAGACACCAAAGTGTGCTTCTGGCTTTCTAATATTAGAGATACAATATATTCTATATTAAATATATAGTTTTGTATTATTATTTTATATAAGTTTAAAAAAAAATAGTCATTATTTATTTTTATTACGAGGGTTTCTTATTATCATTACTAGGATAAATTTTACTTAACATGTTGTTGTCCAAAATTAAAATAAACTAATATAGTATTTGTATAGGCAAGAACTAAGAAGACATACATACAAGTATGAAAAATGTGAAAGAATATATAAACACTCGTGAATTGTGATTCATCATTATTCCTCCACAAGTAGATAATGGTTACACTTACATTATCATTTAGATTTTTAAAATCCTCCAAACCTTCATGAATAATGTTTTTTATTTGAGAGAAAATTAATAAAATTAATAATAATTATTGTAGAAGTGTAAAAAATGTAAAAAAAATACACAATCACTCATAGTGACAAACTTTACAACTTTCATGAAAGAGTTAGCTTCGAAATCCAACACTATAATTCATAAACCTTAAATTTATATTTAACCGTCGATTGTCATTTACACTTTATTCTTCTTACTGAATTCCATTTTTTAAATTTTCTTTTTTGAAAACATGATCATATGGCGGATGTAAGAAGATGAACGGTTCAGATCTTTGATATCATGTTTCGATATTTACGGTTAATTGAAATATGAGTCGATGTCATATAGTTTGTAGAAACTTTATAAAACATCAAGCAATATTTTCACTAACTGTAAAACTCTGAATATAATATCAACGATTCAAACCGTTCATCTTCCTGCATCTTCTAATAGATCAAGTTTTCAAAAAAGAAAATCTGAAAAAAAACAAAATTTGATGAGAACAATGAAGCGTAAATGTAAACAACAATCAACGGTTAAATTTTGATCTATGATTTATATGATTATAGTGGTGAATTTTGAAGTTAAGCTCTTCATAAAAGTTGTAAATCTTGTCATTACGAGCGTTTATATATTTTTTTCTATATTTGTTTACACTTCTACATTAATTAAAAAATTATTAAAGACTTTAGGTAAGTGAAAATATACATAAAAGAAAAATGTGTTTTATGTTTTGGATGTAACAATACGGTATGTATATACTTATTTAGTTATGTTTAGACCAGAGTGGTTTGCCAGTTTTGGGAGAAAGAACAATTCAGGGACAAAATTATTTTGTATTTCGGGGACATGTGAACAAGCCTTGCACCGTTGAAGAGGAAATGAGCATACCCTTGAAAGAGTTGCTGGAGAGGCGCTGTCACTACTAGAAATTTCCACTTTGCCGACAAAAATAGTTTGTCGGCAAAAGTCAAAATTCGTCGGCAAAGAGCCTTTCCCAACGAAAAATTTTGTCGGCAATTTTGTCGCTAAAAGCATGTCGCGCAAGATCTTTCTCGACAAATCTTGATATTTCATCGGCTCATTTTTAAGGCGACAAATCTCAGCCGTCAAACTGTGCCCATCACCAAAACAACATTGCAACAAAATATTTTGTCAGCATAGTTTGTTTTTTCGCGATGAAGTTATTTGTCGGCTTAGTGATCTTGTTGCGACAAAATATTTTGTCGGCTGAGTAATCTTGTTGCGACAAAACATTTTGGCGGCTAAGTAATCTTGTCGTGACAAAATGGTTTTTCGGCTACGTAGTCCTATGACAACAAATTGGTTTGTCGGCTCAAATGACTTGTGTAGACAAAATAATTAGTTGGTTGAATCTTTTGTGAACAAAAACATTTGTCGGCTAATTAATTTTGTGCCGACAAAACATGTCAAGTCCAATATTTTCTAATTTTTAATAATATTTTTAACCATCACAAACAAGCAAGCTTAAGAGATCGAGAAGGGGCGTGAATGAAGAATTAATGTAGGAACAACACAAAATTCATGTAATATAAACTAATGTAAGGTTCACAATTCGGTGTAGTTACAAAATACAAAAATATCTATGTTTTCATTTCTTGATTACTATAATATAGATAAAATATCCTTAAGTATCACCATTCTCACTATAGTCCTCATCAAGTTGATATGCAGCATCATGAAATCGGGAAACGATAAGGATCATCATGAAACACTCCAGTATCAAACAACTGTAGAAGAAAAACAAATTAAAAAACTTGATTAGCAAACGTTAAGGGTGCTAAATATCATTGACATTAAGGAACGCAAGGCCACACTAGAGTGGTATTTCTAAACAAATAACTTATGAAACCATAAATGTGTAAACAACAAGATAAAGATATCTACTAATCAAGTTAACTTACCAACGCCATGCAGCATCACAACCTAGCAAAATTACATGTTTAATAGATACCAGGTAATAATCAAGTTAACATCAACTACTTATATGTCATTCATCACTGTAAACAACAAGATAAACATTATAAACAACAAGGCAACATGATTATCACACTCTGTAAACAAGGCAGCATGATAAGTAGATCATATAAATCCTTGAAAGGTATAATTTATATAAACATAACAATACCAATCACCTATCTAAGTAGGTTATAACTCTAGAACATAAGCATATGCACCTGGAAACATAAATAAACTATACTAAAGCATCCTAATTCATCATTGTTTAAATTCAAAAGACATAAGCGTTCAAACACTGCAAAAATAAGTGGAAGAAAAACACAAAGTCACCAAAGACAAAAGCTTCCTAAAACGAAAAATCAAACCAGATGGAACAACCATAGACAAATGATCACAAAATAGAAGAAAACATTTGAAAGAAAGAGCTAACAGACCTTTATTCGAAAGGGCTTGCATCGCTGTTCACAAAACCCCCAAAATCTGGAGACCAATATTTTCTGCAACAAAAAAGCCAATCAGATTAGGGAACCACACCGAAATCACTAAAAAAATTAACCAAACAATGAATGAAAAACGCTAAAAGTTCAATTTCACACCGATAATAACTGAAATGAAAAAGAAACAAAAATATAGGAATACCATATTAATTTTCAAATCTTACCACCAGTTTGCAGGGTGTAACGAAAGCTTGTGTCTCACCATGGCTCAGTCTTTGCTTTATTAGTAACTTAGCCGTCAAATCTTTCAACTGCAATGATCAATTGAACATGATCAGAGAAAAACCACATATGGAAAAGCACACAACTTTCAAAATGCTGATGGAATCCACAATCAAAAGTTTTCACTTTGCTTCTATCTGCAAGATACCAAACGATATTAACAATGAAGGGATGATAACAAATCTCATTAAAGAACACACTGCATTTATTACCAAAGTGTTAACCAGATGAAAGTATAAAATATTACGGATTTACACAGTCAAATTCTACATTTCTTGATTATAATTAGTGAAATAAACAGTAATCTATACAACAATAAATATAAAAATAGTTATTCAAGTTGATTTCGCAATTTCTAAAGGTTTAACGACTAGAGCATCAGATATTTGTTGAATTTAAAACTTTATGTGATCTTAATCCAAACATAGAATGGGTATGGGAATCAGGGAGAGAATATAGAATGGGTATGGGGTAATAACTCTGTATCGATGCGAAGCAATCCATATGTTTTCAAACTGAAACATGAAAAAAATTAAAATAGAAGTGCCTTCTAAAGTTTTTATTTTTGCTATCATTTAACATTGATAGCACATGGTATGTTTGTGTTCTTCCCTCATATAGGATGTACTCTTATACACTAAGACAAACTGTCAACCTTGACAACCATTAAATGACTCTGCTAGACCATCTATCAGAAACATTGCATTCATATTTTTGCTTGACCACAATTTTAACATGCGTTAATCTGTAATGCGATTTGTTATCTTTTTAATGGATATCTGATTAGAGTTATACAGTTTTTCCTTCTTTTTTCATTTCACATTAGAATATAAACATTCATCCATCATAACCACACCAAAAGTGGGCAATTCATTGTAAAAATACAAAACCATTAAGGTGATAAATCTAACTGATCTATTTCTTGAACTCCGAGGCTAATTCTATCTTAGAAATGTTTTCTTCTGGTACAATATTACTACTCCCCCTTTTTCTTTTTGGCGGAATTGATTGAAATCAATTGGATCAACAGAATAGCCAGTTCATTACAATCTACAGAAATTCAAAATAAAAACTAATATAAAGCTCAGCCAAAACATACCCAAACTGAATACGATTTGTCTGACGATCACTTGAATACAAAGATCACCCAAAATTGAGCGAAAATCTGGGAACAAAATCAATCCAATTGTAATAATTAACAGTTAGACAACCAAAAAACAAATCTATGGGCAAGACAACCAAAAATGAAATCAAACTGCAAAACAAAACTAAAAAATTTAGAAATCAGTCACTTTAATACGTACCAGTTAACAAAAAGGCGAAAAAGACGAAATCGATACGGTTCGCACCCAAAAACAGAGAAGAACAGCCAACAACTATTCCAAAAATCAAAGAACGTGTCTGCCCGGAGGTAATTTTGTGAAACCAAGAGGAAGAAATTGATAGAAAACAGGGCGCACAACGATGAAGGCGGAGGAAAACCTAGATGAGGAAACTAGAAAATGGAGAGCCAAAAGGTAAAGTGAAACAGATGAATCGAAGGAGAGAAAGAAAGGCTGCAGGACGCGTGGGCTGGATGGGTAGAATCGGAAATTCACTGCACACATATGAGGAAGCACGGCAAAAGCCAAGAAAAGCGGAGGGCATAACTATCCTTGCACTGTTCACGAACAGTGCAAAACAGTGCACCCTAGTTTGGGTTTTAGTATATGTATAATATATATAGAATTTATACTTTCATTAAGTATAACGTAAGAATTTGTGGTATCCACAAGTGTAAATATTTTAAATTGAAGATCGAGCTCATTCATTGTATTCATATAGGATCAAGGAGTGTAGCTGTAAAAAATCATCAAATCGGAGTTAAAATAACAGTTAAATCGTGATTTTTCATTTATAACCGTCAGAACATTTTGTCTCCTTACATGATCTCTGAAGGTTTGTTTTTTGCAATTTTTGGCGTATACGATCTCGAAACATATATAAACAAGTTCGACGGTTGGATCGTTGAAACTAGTTTCGTATAATGCGTATCCTATGAAAATGATAGATTCACTAACACTTAGAGTTTATTTATACTTTCATTAAGTATAACATAAGAATTTGTGGTATCCACAAGTGTAAATATTTTAAATTAAAGATCGAGCTCATTCATTGTATTCATATAGGATCAAGGAGTGTAGCTGTAAAAAAATCATCAAAATTGGAGTTAAAATAACCGTTAAATCGTGATTTTTCGTTTATAGCCGTAAAAACGTTTTGTCTCCTTACATGATCTCTGAATGTTTTTTTTTTGCAATTTTTGGCGTATGCGATCTCGAAATATATATAAACAAGTTTGACGGTTGGATCGTTGAAATTAGTTTCGTAGAATGTGTATCCCATGAAAAATGATAGATTCACTAACACTTAGAGTTTATTTATACTTTCATTAAGTATAACATAAGAATTTGTGGTATCCACAAGTGTAAATATTTTAAATTGAAGATCGAGCTCATTCATTGTATTCATATAGGATCAAGGAGTGTAGCTGTAAAAAATCATCAAAATTGGAGTTAAAATAACCGTTAAATCGTGATTTTTCGTTTATAGCCGTCAAAAAATTTTGTCTCCTTACATGATCTCTGAATGTTTGTTTTTTGCAATTTTTGGCGTATGCGATCTCGAAACATATATAAACAAGTTTGACGGTTGGATCGTTGAAATTAGTTTCGTAGAATGTGTATCCCATGAAAATGATAGATTCACTAACACTTAGAGTTTATTTATACTTTCATTAAGTATAACATAAGAATTTGTGGTATCCACAAGTGTAAATATTTTAAATTGAAGATCGAGCTCATTCATTGTATTCATATAGGATCAAGGAGTGTAGCTGTAAAAAATTATCAAAATTGGAGTTAAAATAACCGTTAAATCGTGATTTTTCGTTTATAGCCGTAAAAAAGTTTTGTCTCCTTACATGATCTCTGAATGTTTGTTTTTTGCAATTTTTGGCGTATGCGATCTCGAAATATATATAAACAAGTTTGACGGTTGGATCGTTGAAATTAGTTTCGTAGAATGTGTATCCCATGAAAATGATAGATTCACTAACACTTAGAGTTTATTTATACTTTCATTAAGTATAACATAAGAATTTGTGGTATCCACAAGTGTAAATATTTTAAATTGAAGATCGAGCTCATTCATTGTATTCATATAGGATCAAGGAGTGTAGCTGTAAAAAATCATCAAACTTGGAGTTAAAATAATCGTTAAATCGTGATTTTTCGTTTATAGCCGTCAAAAAGTTTTGTCTCCTTACATGATCTCTGAATGTTTGTTTTTTGCAATTTTTGGCGTATGCGATCTCGAAACATATATAAACAAGTTTGATGGTTGGATCGTTGAAATTAGTTTCGTAGAATGTGTATCCCATGAAAATGATAGATTCACTAACACTTAGAGTTTATTTATACTTTCATTAAGTATAACATAAGAATTTATGGTATCCACAAGTGTAAATATTTTAAATTGAAGATCGAGCTCATTCATTGTATTCATATAGGATCAAGGAGTGTAGCTGTAAAAAATTATCAAAATTGGAGTTAAAATAACCGTTAAATCGTGATTTTTCGTTTATAGCCGTCAAAAAGTTTTGTCTCCTTACATGATCTCTGAATGTTTGTTTTTTGCAATTTTTGGCGTATGCGATCTCGAAACATATATAAACAGGTTTGACGGTTGGATCGTTGAAATTAGTTTCGTAGAATGTGTATCCCATGAAAATGATAAATTCACTAACACATGTGGAGGTGTGAGGGGCGGATGGGACAACTTACTTGCAGTAATTCCAGGTGGTTCATCTGTTCCATTGCTTACCAAGGATATATGCAATGATGTGATGGATTTTGATTCGACGGTTTGACGAATTGCTTTGCAACAATTGTGCTTTTTTTCGTCAAACGAATAATTTTGTGCTGCTTCAACTCCAGAGACATCTGCGATGCTTGTTTTGTCATTACCCTTTGAACAGTTATCCCCTTGTGCTTTAACAGACATCCTAAAGTGCATGTTTTTGTCAAACGAATTACTTTAACAGACATCCTTTGTGAAGCGCTACGTAAAACGAATAACTTTTTTTTTGTCAAACGAATTACTTTGCGGACCGACATCCCACCGCACGTATTGTTATTTATTCTATTTTCGATTGATAAGTTTTCTTTTGCTGAATTCTTTGTATTTGTACGCCGTTGTTAATTAATATTATTTTTATTATAAATTATTTTTATATGTGAAATTTAAACAGAAATTATGAAAAAAATAATAATAATGTAATAAATTAATAGTTTAAGTTGACATTTATAGATAAAAATTAAAATATAAAACAGAAATTATGAAAATAATATGATAAAATAATAAGTTAATTTGACATATTGGGTGAAGAGCAAAACTTTAAAAATGTCAAAGTGCCACATAAATTGTCAAATGAAATTTTATGTATAAAATTTGACACCTCTTTTATAGATGGTTTAGGGTGATCTTCAAAAAAGTTGTACTACAAACATACTCCCTACTTGAGTGAGTTATAATAGCTATGACTTAATCATTAGCTAATTATTTATTCAAAATAATATTAAATCAGTTAGCATTATATATGGAGGGCTAAATAGCCAAAATGGTTCCTGAGATTTGTATAACTCATCACTTTGGTCCCTAACATTTCAAATCAATAAAATGATGGATGGTGGACAATCTCAGGGACCACTTTTATTGATTTGAAATGTTAGGGACCAAAGTGACGAGTTATGCAAATCTCAATGACCATTTTGGCCTATATGGAGAGCAAGAGCTCCTAGATAAATTCCTATCCTAGGAGACGGATATGGAGCATGATTAGAGTTAATTTTTTTTTAAAATCCTCTCTAAATTATTGTTAGGAGCTCAGTTAGGTTTATCGGACTCATATTTACCAATGATCAATTTCTATGTCTTTTAATTTTTAAAATTTAGTCTACAAATTTAATCTCTCTAGCATTATTCATATCTCCAAGTGTCTATCCCTTGCTGCTGTTGTTGCATAACATCGAAATGCTCGTAAATGCCGATTTTGCTCAATTTCTTGTCAATTACAGCATACTACGATTTCAAACAAATAATAATATTAATAATTAAAATAATAACAATCTGAACTATCAGCATCAGTTTCAACAAGAATCTTGATGCAATTTCACATCCATTTTCTCTCATTTCCCGAGAAACAAACACAATTATCATAAAAAACGAGAGTTCAGATTATTTTTTAAGGACAAAGTCCCAAAAAAAATATTTTAAATTCACACGAAAATGTTTGCTAGAGCCTAGAGCCTCCTAACAACAATTGGTGATATCAAAGTGTTTTCCTTTTGTTTATCCTAAAAACTACTTAGCCTATGTGATGCATAAGCTGAATAACTAATAAGTTAACTACGTCATTCAGTTGAATGCGGGATATGCCAACTCATTGGCCGAGTTCAACTGGGAAGTGAATGAATGTTGATAGGGCTTTGGTAGCACTGATGACTTCTAAATCTTGTGACTGTGTCCGGGAAAGAACATGTCTCGGTCTTTGGGTTCTAGAGCCTAAAGACAAAGTTGCTAGTTCTGCGAAGTTCAGTATCAAATTCGACTTTCAGTGTGCCGAATGTCGTAACCTGATAACACCTCACTTCAACACCTCACTCCCTCTCCCAGGTTTCCACGTTGGCAATTGGAAACTGTACGACAGTTCCCCATATCCTATTCGAATTCAAACCGTTCAAACCCCATTTTAATTTCTTAATTTCTCAATCACTCCCTCTCTCTATGCTTTTGGGTTTTGTGGTGTTTGGATTAATGTGTTTGTGTTTGTTCTTAGATTAATGCAGAAGAACTGCGGCCAGCAACAACAATGGAGGCGACAAAGCTGCCAGCAAAGACGGGGGTGAGAAGAAGAAGGGAGACGAAGGTGAGATGAAGGAGGAGGAAAGCCCATCACCATCATCCTCAAGGTTGTCAAATGCGCCAAAGCTTTTGGAAGTCCAATAATAAATTCTTCAAAACCTTTGCTTAATTATTGCATAATAAAGTTTCAAGGTTGATCTACCAGCCAGGTCACTGTCTCTTCTTGTAGAGAGAGAAAATGGTAGTGAGAGAGAGAGCAATTTAAGCGGTGGAGGAATTGGGATGCCCATGTACACAAAGTGCTCAACGAAGTGTTCATTTAAAAAATAGAGCAAAAATTTTACCCATTACACACTATTTCCGTTTATAAAATCTTTAAATCTTTTATACTAGGATCACCTGAGGTTGAAATCTTGCATACGCTACTGAGTGAGAAAGAGAGCAATTTAAGCGGTGGAGGAATTGGGGTGGTACAGTAGAAGAAGAAGCAGAGAAAAATGGGGACGCTTCAGACGTGGAATGGTTACGGTGCTCTCAAAGACTCCAAAAGACGGCCTTGCCCACGTCAACAACGATTTACGCGGTACCAATTCCTTTCCCTTTTGTTTAATCTCCGTTGATTTAACTAATTAGAAGAAAACAATAAAGATTAGATTTTGGTAATCCGAATGAATTGGATTTTGATTTTTGGATTTGGATTTGTTTTCTAAGAATAGGATTTGGATGTTGTGATAGTCAAAGCCACCAACCACGTCGAGTGCCCGCCCAAAGAGAGACATCTCAGAAGTCAGTTTCTAAATTTAAAAATTTTTCAGATTCGTTGTTTTATCCAATGGGTTGTTCAACTTTGATCCAAAGATGTGAGTTTTACATTTGGGGTGTTTTTCTTTTTATGCAGAGATGTTGCTTATTGCATTCATGCTTCTTTCAAGAAGATAAAGCAAGATGTTAACTACATTGGGGAAAATTAAAGAACAATGAAGAATTGAGAAAGATGAACAACCAGAGAGAAGTTTAGAGAGAAATAATGCTCTATATTTCTGTAAGTATGACTGGCCAAATTACATTTTGAGTTGCAATTCCTAACATATATATTGAATACAGTAGAAGCTTACTTGTAACTAATTAATCAACTAACAATCCTTAACAGCCAAACAAATATTCTAACAATTTTGACTGACGTGGCAATGAATATATGACAGCCAATGATTATAAGACATCTGTCTTCACAAGACCCCTAATTGGACGGTATGCCGTGCTTGCCCATTCCATTGCAAATTTGCAATGCCATCCCTTTTCATTTCGAGATTGTATTGGATGGTTATTGGACTTACTATGTATCTATTTCCTTTGAATTTCAAGGGGGGTTTGCTTACTATCGGGGAGCATTTTTGTTTACCATCATAGACTATGATGTACGATTACCATACATCTAATCATCTGTCATGTATCCCTTTTCTTAACTACTGTTAATTTTTTTCAAAATTGAAAAAGTTACATTTAATGCGATAGTTAACTACAGTTAGATGAAATGACACATGTGTGAGCAAAAATGCTCCCTTAATATCCTTGTTTACCATGCCCTACTATATTATTTGAGTTTGCTTGGAAATATACTTGGTCAAGTACAAATGTAAAACAAATAAACATTGTACGTTGGGCATCTCATAATAAATCATCATTAACAGTGCAAAAGTTCAAACCATTTGTTAACTAAAAACATTAAAATAAATGTCTTTTGACAAGTATAAACGTAAAAATTAACATTAAACATTGTACGCGCGTAGTGAGCTATAATTATAAAAAATTCATACATCGCGAGTAGCGATCCTTGATGTTAAAAATAAATAAATAAATAAAAAAGAAAAAAACCCTTCGCATCCGCATGAGTAGATGCAGAAAGGCTAGTATATGTAACACAAGCCATGAACCCACTGGATTTCAAGTGAAGAGAGGCTTTTCACAAATGTAGAAAAAAATGGCTGATAACAATTACAAACTACTAACCAAAACATCATAATAACATATTCATTGATAATAGTGTGTTTGAAAGTGTTTTGAAAATGACTAAAGACACTTTCAATGAAAATGTTTTTAGAACCAATCTTTAGTTAAAATGTAAGTGAAATCCTCAAAAAGAACTTGAAGTGTTTATTGCAAGAAGTACATAATTGGTGATTCTTCTAAAATTTCACTTATAGTGCTTTTGGAATCTAAAACACTTTTCACCAAAATAATTTCAATCATTTTAAAAATACTTCCGAACATGCACAACATTAATCGTTACATGGTAACCTGGTCATCTATACTATTAAATTTAATCGAGATAATTAATAATTAATAAAAAAAATAAACACGAACACTTAAATAAGAGGCTTGATAGAGATGAATAATAAAAGGTTATCAAGAATAAGATAGATTTACAAATCTCATTCTTGTTGAATTAATTTGAATTTAGTTTATGACAATATATATATATATATATATATATATATGTATATATATGTGTGTGTGTGTGTATGTATATATATGAAGTTTCAGAAAATGAAACGAAGAGTCGCTTTGGTAGATTTGAAGTTTTGCTTCTAGGTTGCAGTTGCACCGTGAAAGAGAAAGATCAAGGTAGATTTTTTTTTTTAGCTTTTTAGTTAAAATGGTCCTTGAGATTTGCATAACATATCACCTTGGTCTTTGAGATGGAAAATCAATAGAAATGGTCCCTGAGATTGTCCATCATCCATTATTTTGGTCATTCCATTAAAAACTTTGTTAAGTGTCCTGGAGCTCTTGGCCGAAAGTTTGGGCAATTTTCAAAGCTTCGTAATTTAATCGTTTCTTAACCAAATTCAACCCATAATATATCAAAATGAAGATAGGAAAGTGTAGAACAAGACTATATCATTGGGAAGCCCAATGGTTTCCGAAAATAGCCAGAAAATAGTCTGAAAGTGACTGATACGCAGGAAAACTCGAAAACTCGCCGGAAACTGGGTAAACTTTAAACGCTCATAACTTCTTCAATACTCAACAAAATCGAGTGATTCAAAAACAAAAATCATACTTCTCAACGAGACGAAGAGAATAATACATTTTTTTATGTCTAAATAGCCGTGATTTGGGGGGAAAAATTCTCAAAAGTGGCTGTATTGGTCTCGAGTTAGCCACTTTCGAACCGTTATCCGGCCAAACCATGACGAATTAGCCGTCAATAAAGGTACCATTCTTAAGAATTTTGTATGCCTTCTTGATTGGGTAATAACGTAATTTTATAACTAGTTTATGTCATTTAATCTTTCAGCTTTTTGTGGCATTATTTACAGTCAGATTGGCAGTAATAACTTCACTGGAAGAATACCTGACTACTTTCGAAGTTGGAAAAACCTCCGGGCCTTGTAAGAGATCTCTTTTATTGCACTTTTTAAATTCTCAACTGAAATATTTTCATGTGTAATCCTATACCCATCAAATATGTTCTTTACAGAGAGATGCAAGCGAGTGATCTTGAAGACCCCCTTCCATCTAGTCTCTCTACCTTGAATAATATGACAGATCTGTAAGTCCTGCCTTCTAAGCTATGAGTTATCTTAATTTGCATGATCTCCTTGCGTCTTTCTAATTTAGAGAGAAAAATGGATTTATGAAGATACTTGTATTCCAACACGTTATCATGCTGTAACCTTTTGCAGAAGGATTAGTGACTTAAGCGGTGAGAGTTCTGCTTTGCCAAACTTATCAAGCATGACGGGCATTAATAAATTGTGAGCCATATTTTAGGTTTTATATCATATATACTAAAACCCGTAAGGGCTGATCACTGTGGATGACCAGTGTGTGGACGTTTTTGCCCCTCCATTTTTCCTCTGTCTCGCTTGCTATGTCCATATTTGTACAGTCGAATGACTGTTTTGCCCATTCACTCCACGCGTCCGTCATCGACTCACCCTCTATTTGGGTTGCGTCTTCTGGATTTTTCTGTTTGTTTCCGCCGGTCTCTCACACATCTCAGTTCTATTGTTCTGCAACTCACCCTTTCTCGCTATCCCTTTTTGCCACCGCTCCGATTCCGCCTGTGTTGACAGCCTTCAAACTATAGAAATCATCATTGATCAAGCTTCTATTTCAACTGTGGCCTGTTAATTTTTGTCTTCATCTGGCTGATTCCAGCTGTGTTCGCACCCTTCAAAACCTAAATACCAAAATTCAGATCAGTTTTCTGAAGCTTGGGTTTGATTTTGTTCCGCTTCGTTCTGCTCCTCGCCTTCCTGTTTATTTTCCAAGAAATATTGAATGTACCCATAACTTGCCTTCCTCTTTCGGTTTCCAACTTTAAATTTTAAGGTATGAGGGGTTTCGAACAGGGATTCTAATGAATGAAGAGAGCGTTCTCAATTTTTCAAAATTTTCATGAATTTATTGGTTTTTTTAAAGCATGATCTGTTATTGTAATCTGAAATTTTTTGATCTGGGTTTGCCTTTTTTTATTACTTTTGCTAATTGGATCTGATTGTTTTGGTGTTCAGACCAAGTCCCTCACCGGACGAGGATCTAGATCCGACCGACAAACGTTGGAGGTGAGATCCGGACTCCTCCCTCTTATCGTGGTGTGCTTTTTTGCATGTTGGTTTTGGTTTTATTGTTAAAATCACTCAGCCACTACAGCTTTTTTTGGAATTTTTGTTGTTCATTTTACTTGGATTTAGAGATTTTTTTTTCTCTTTTATTTAATTTTTTTCACTTCTACTGAAATTACATTTGGTTCAATTTTATCAATTTCTGTTTGTGTCTGTAGAGAATTTTAGCGTTGTTTTTGTGATTATTATATGATGATTGGCTGACAAATTGTGGTTTTCCAAATTTTGGTTTTGTAGTATTTAACAGATAGGCAACTAGCTTTGAGATATAAGGAGAGGAAACTAAGGTATCCAAATTACCTAGAAACAGAGGTCTAACGGTTTCAGACCCAAGAACAGAAGCAACTCTGTGTGCATCACCCACCCAAGAACAGAAGCAGCTCTGTGGGCATCACCTTGGAAACTGTGGGTGGCATCTGTGCAGCCATCAAATCGTTTATAAACAACCAGAAGACTATCCAAAACAGGCTTTTATCTGAGGTACTGGTCATTACTTGCCAATATTGATCTTCTTTGTTAATATGAACTTTTTGCTATAAATTTAATTTCAAATTTTGCGTTTGGCTTGATATGCTAGAAGATATATACATTTGAGAATATTGAGAACTTACAGGTGTTGTAGCTGCTGAATTTTGTCAACAGTCTGTTCATTCAGATTCATATTGGGATGTTCATGCTTTCAATATTTTGTCCTTGCACCAGAAAGTAAGTATTATTCCAAGAAGCTGAAAAGGAATCAGTGGCTAACAAAGTCAGTAGCAATCGATCAAAAAATGATATTCATCCTTGGTAGTTGAATCTTCCTTATGCTCTGGTATATCATGGAATTTTTCTTAGTTTTCTATCTTTATTATACTTTTTTCTAAGTTGTCCTGCCTATGTAACAATTGGACTTTGTTGCAGGGTCCTTTGGTACAAAAGAGTTTCAACACCTGGGCAGTTACAACGATCGTTGAGTACTTACATCTGCTTCCTTATGCTGCAATTTTGTCAGACTGATATCCCAGGTGTGTATTTTATCTTCATATGCTTGACATTTTTATTTAGTTTTGATAAATAATCAACTAGAAACACAATTCAGTTGGACGAATTCTACACTGTGACATACATGACATTCGGTTATGCTCTGTTTGTGATTAAGGATGTTTGTTATGTTTTCCCCTATTTACATTAATACTGTGAAACATCGAGTAAAAATCAATTTAGCGGAACTATATACTGGTAAAGATGTGCATATTAATCCTGCCTAAAGTAAAATTTAGAAATCTGGCATAGTGAAAACCAATAGAGAAAATGAAAAACCCAACTTAATTTTCTGAATTTGATTTGGTGCCTACAAATGAAATCTGGCATATTGAAATTTTGTACAGTTCGATTATGACAAATTTTCATTCATCTTTAGATTTTCATTCAATTCAATTCATATGCAACTTAGTGTGATTCAATTCATAAGTGATCCAATTCTGTTTTTAATTTCCTTCTCTTAATTTTTACCTCTACATTGTCGTAGAAAACGAAGGAGACATCATTAATGAAGTTACAAATTTGGGTGTCTTTAGTGAAACAAAACTAGATTGTTTAACTTTGTAAAATTGTATGCATAAAACAATCTCTGGGGTAGAGCCATAACTTTTGAAAAACAATCCTTAAGAATGGCATACCCATACTTCCAATTTTTGTCATGTAATATATGAATGTAAATAGCACTTCCTTAACACATGGACATGGATGTAATATATGTATATAAACACCACTCTTTGGCACATATATTTTTTAGACTTCTCCATATTCAATTATGTTTTCAAACACCGCAGCAACGCGCGGGTACACTTGCTAGTATATTTCTATTAGCATAACGCATGCAGATGAAAACAAATTTTCGAATATTGGTTGTTCAAATTGCAGGATGTTAAGGAGCTGCAATATAACCGGAGAAATGCCTGAATATATCTCTACCTTGACAAGTCTGACTGTTTTGTAATTCTTCTATCTATTATTCTTCATTTTTTCATGACATGGTCGTCTTAATAATTGGTTTTACACTGTAGCTCTTGATTATTACTAATATTGTATAACAAACTGGTAACACTATGAGTAGCTTGACCTTACACTTTGAGATTTGTGGACTTAAAATGTTTGACCTTACACGTAATAAGCTTTAAAACATGTAGGGGCGTTTGTTTGGCCTCGTTAACTAGGACTGGACTAGACTAGACTACAGTCCTATGTTTGGTTTGTATTGGGACTAAGTTAAATGGGACTAAAGGGGACTCGCGTGGATTAGAAGCCTCGCTAGAAGTTCTTAGCGAGACCCTTCACAAACCACGGGACTCGCTAAGACCATCTCTGCTCAGCCTCTTTCGCTTCGCCCCTGCTTCTTCTTCTCCGCTCCCACATCCATTTTCATCTTCTTCCTCATCCAAACCTTGTGCATCATTCCAACTTACAAGATCTCAATCCTCGAAAATAAGGATTTTTTTCATCTGGGTTCGGTGATTTGGGGCCTTCCACGATCTGGGTCTTTTGGTATCTCAGATCGCACACATACATACATCGCTCTCTCCCAGAAACACCCTTAATTTTCACTTACCAACCACTCTGCTTCCGTTGATTCTTCCCCCACCAGTCGCGTTCCGTTGCGGGAATTCAATTTTTGACTTGTTTTCAGCGGACCATAATCTGAAAGGTGTTTGGTTGGCGAAAAAATTGAAAGAGAAAACAAAAGAAAATGGAATGGTAATTAGTAAGAACTGGGGAATTGCATGAAAGGAGGTGGGATTTTGAAAGGTGTTGGGTTGGTTGATTTTTTTGCAAACGGGATTCCATGAAAGCAACAGATGGCTGAAGGAAACAATCAAGAGGCAGAGAGGATTGAGACGGATGGAGAAAAAAGGGGGAGTGGTGAGGCAGAGAAGATGGAGCATTCTAGAAAAAGGGTTTCCAGAAGAAAAAAAAAAAAAAAGAGAGGAAGAATTAATATAAAATATTCTAGATATGCTTTAAAATAATATAATTTTTCAGTTTTGTTAATTATCCTATTTTTTAGTCCGACACTGCACCAAACACTTCACTAAATTAATCCAGCTTAGTCTAGTCTAAGCCAGTCCAACTTAATCCTTGAAGCTAGTCCAGTCCAAGACAGTCCGGTACAACAAACGCCCCCGTAACTTTCAGTTAAGCAGCACATTCTAAATTTGTCCAAAACCTGATCGTGAATTTGGTGTGCAGACAGTGTTCTATTTATTATTCACACTAACAGACTACGTACTAGTTGATTCATTTATGTTTTTAACATTTGCTTAATTTACTTCTGATTATTTGTATACATATTCATTTGCAAAGATCTTAGCTTCAACAGACTGGAAGGGAGTATTCCAAATTTTGCAGATATTAAGGAATTGGCCACAATGTAAGGAATATAACTCATAAGGGTAGCTAACACACAAGATGATGCATGGAGGCACTTCCGGCCAAACCACGGCAAATTAGCCATCGAAAAAGATACCATTCTCTTCATCTCGTTGAGAAGTATGATTTTCATTTTTGAATCACTCAATTTCGTTGAGTATTAAAGAAGTTATGAACGTTTAAAGTTTACTTAGTTTCCAGCTAGTTTCCTTTTTTCCCGTGGACCAGTCACCTTTCAGGCTATTTTCCGTCCATCTCCAGCATCCATTGGGCTTCCAAATATGTATAATCTTGTTTTACACTTTCTTATCTTCATTTTGATATATTATGGGTCAAATTTGACTAAGAAACGATTGAGTTACGAAACTTTGAAAATTGCCCAAACTTTAGGCCAAGAGCTCTGGGACACTTAACGGAGTTTTTAACAGAATGACCAAAATAATGGATGGTGAACAATCTCATGGACCATTTCTATTGATTTCTAATCTCAGAGACCAAAGTAATATGTTATGCAAATCTCATGGGCCATTTTGGCTAAAAAGCCTTATTTTTTCCAACTTGAAAGTGAAGATTTAATGTTAAAGTTTTTTCTATCACATGGTATGTGAGAAAATGAAATACTAAAATTAGGAAATCTTAATGAAACACTTTGGTACAGTTCACTTTTAACAAAAAAAATATTTTTACCTTAAAAAGTTACTCCTGGTACTATTCACTTGCACTTTTATTTTGTTATTTTCGTTAAAACTAAAAGTTTTTGAGAATTTTTCGTTAGTTTTCCTCTATAATCAGTGGTTATTTTGGGGGATGGTGGTTGATGTAATGATACATGGAAGTTGTTTTACTGGTCAATACCATAATCATTCTGAATTCCTCGTGAAGGTTTTCTATCACATGGTATGTGATATTCATACTTTCATGTGAAATACTATTACTATTACTATTCTGGATCCGCTTGCAGTTTCATACTTTCATGTGAAGGTTTGATGTTAAAATCAGTGGGGGGGGGCAATGTCATCACATCTGGAAGTTGTCTTATCAGTCAATAGGCGCACAACAATTCTGAATTCTTGCTATTGGGTTGCAGTCTGGCATACCAGCACACATGTGAAAGAAAAACAAGGTAGCCCTTTTCCTTTTAAACATGCAGCATGCTTCTGACCCAATATATAAATAAATAAATAAACCCCACTACCCAGTGGTATAAAACAGACCATACTACAAACACTTGCACACACCTTCTACCCAGTAGTGTAAAGCAGCCCCCACCCCCTACACCAATCAACCCCTCCTCACCGCCACCGTCACCGCCACCTCAACTCTCATTTCTCATTCTCTCCTTCTGCTCCCAGCTGCCTCTTTTGCCCACCACTATGGCGGACGCTGAAAATCAAAACCCTCCTTCAAATCCGCAACCACATCTAAACGAGACTCTGACCATCCTCTTGGCCTTAGCAACCATTCTAATTGTCATCGCGGTGGGCCAGTTTGACTTTGTCAAACCTCCCTCCGCCAATGCGGTTGGTTGCGACTGCAAATTGAATGATTGTCCATGCCTTCCTCCCTTCTACATTTACTCTATCATTTCCACGGCAGCGCTATCTGTTGTTTGGTTTGGACTTTTTATCCTCACCGTCCGATTTCAATACCGCTTCATTATCTGGGTAGGGCTTGGCTTAGTGTGGGCTATCTATTGGCTCGCAATGATTTGCAGCCTTGCACCCCAGTTTTATAAACCTATGCTTTATTCCTTCAATCCTGTTCTAGCAGTCCTATTGTTGCTTAACATAAGATTTCGAAATGTCTTGGACCGTGCAATGCATGTCATATCTGACAAACGAGACCACGCGATCCATGTCATAGCTAACATCTGCATTCTGTTTTGGAACTATGTCACAGGAAACTTCTAATATTTGGGTATTTAAATTCTGTTCATACTTTTTTGCTTTTTTCTTTATAATTTTTTTCTTTCGAAATCTCCCTTTTATTTATTTATTTATGTGTGTGGGACATGATAACCTTTTTATGAAAAATTATTCTAAGACCATCTTCAATTTTTAGGTCAAAATTTAAAAACTTTAACCTGGAAAATTTAAATTTTGACCCATAAACAATTTTTTTGCTCTAATGATTTTGAGTAAAAATTTTAAGCCGATATTATTAAAGGATTAATTTATGCTACTTTTTATTCAGTAACTTTTTTCAAAATAAAATTTATGTAGATTATTTTAATTTATTTTATAAACATTTTAACCTAAAAATATTTAAATTTCGATAAAAGTTAAAACTTCACTAAATGGACCCTATGAAACATGTATTATACAATTTTTGGGTGAGTTTTGATTAAAATATTTTTTAAATTGTTTTAGCCATTAGATTTAATTGTGGACTTTTAGATTTTTTTTTTTTTAACCGTTAGACTAATCATATTCTACCTCAGCTGTTGGATTTAATGTTTTTAAAATTATCCAAATTTTAGGTTTTAACCTAAACCTTATTTTAGACCCAATCATTGGAGAATGATTGGATTAGTTTAAAACCTAAAATTTAAGTTCTAACCTAAAATACCTATACATGTATATATAATATACGAGTTGTTGATGTCGCTCAAATACAAAATACACTGAAAAATTACAAATGCTTTAATTGGCAACAAAAAAATTAGACAAGCTACATCAAAAGAATGTTCGTTATGTTACTTCTTTCTTCTGTTTTTGTATGAGTATCTTACTTATATTTTTTTAATTATTTCCAATGTCATTTTCAGATCAGAAGAAAGATGGAGATAGAGCTAATTATCAGCAAAATGCCCGGTCCATTCCTCTTCTTTTAAATGTAATAGTCGTCTTTTCCTACTAGCTACGTTTTTTATATTTGGATCTCTCCATGAAAGATACTTGTTATATTTATTCCGTGGTGTGTAATTTAGAAAATTTTGGATCTCTTCATGTAAGACTGGTTATATAACTTGTTTGGAAGTACTTTGAAAATAGCTAAAGAACTTTTGGTGAAAATATTTTTTTGAACAAATTCATAGTAAAAATGCAAATGAATCCTAGAAAAGTATTAAAGCGCTTACTTTAAGTGCTTTTAGAATTTAAAAATATTTTCGCTAAAAGAACTTCTAGTCATTTTAATTGTACTTTCAAACAAGCCCATATTTATTTTGTGGTGTGTAATTTTAATATTTTGGATCTCTATATATGAGATGCTATATTTATTCGGCCAAGTGTGTAATTTTGTTTTTAATATTTATGTAAGTGTAATGTTTATTGAATATTTGTGATACTATCATGCCCCGATCCCAAGATACGCCCGAAATCGACACATGACGGTAAATTGTAGGGGGATGCTAGGAAATACAAACTCAAACACTTAACTAAAAATAACAATAATCACATCTTTTCTAAGGAAAGTATAGGAGTAACCTAACACTTCAAGCTCTCTGAACTCTGTCTGCTACCCCAAAGCTCCTCGTATCTACTAAAACTCGCACAATCGTCCATACACCATGGGAATGGTGCAATGGGCAAACAATAACCTGGATAAGCCGCGAAACTCGTGTGAGTGACAATAATTCTACTATGTGATACTATTAAAAACCAACCATCGATTCGGTTTATAAACGTCAAATATAAAATCATAGTTTATGAAATCATAATCAAGTCACTGAAAATCACGAAGGAGTCACCCAGACATCCAACAGCTCATCTAAAATTAAACACGAGGTTATCAATCAATAACTCGTACAATACACCAAAATGAAGGGCTAAAGCGACACATTTCGGCCATTCCTACATCTCTGAAGTTATTTCAATCCAAACTTTATCCGAAGAATCAACAAAGCAACTAATCATGTTCTAGACCTCTCCACGGAACCATAATACCAAACAGGATTCCAGACCACTCAACGGAATCCAAAGTAGGATACGATTCTAGACCACTCAACGGAATCGCGGAGTAGAGGGATTCTGAACCTCTTAACGGAATCTGAGTGGATACAATTCCAAACCTCTCAACTGAATCGTGGAGCACAATGTATATCGGACCACTCAATGAAATCCAAGCTGCATATGATTCCGGACCACTCAATAGAATCTAGACAGAGCAGGGAACTAGACCGCTCAACGGAACCCCAGTAGAAACCCAGTTCCGGATCACTCAACGGAACAAAGCGGAAGGTTAACAACCATAATGTACAATGGCTCAAAGAAACGAGACAAGGCACAAGTTACTCAATTTACAAAGGCTTAACGAAGTGAAACAAAGCACAAGTACTAAATTTAGAACGAATCAACGAAGCAGGAAATGAAATAATATCGAAGCAACAAATCCCCATCACAATGGGTTAACGGTCCACTACTAGCCCTCATATTTCATCACAACATGCCAATCATACAAATCAACCATATTTCAAATATATACATCAAATCTCATTTCATAAACATAAATCGATGACTAAGTATTAAAAATAACAATTCAATAGAAAACATATTTATAAAACCAAGTCATATCCACACAAGATAACAATTAGGAAAATAGGGTAATCTCCAATATCACATATATTAAATTCACTCACCTGGAGCCCGCACTACGAATCCCTAGCTCGAATATTGAGGCATCCACATCCGATCGTCGCCTAAAACAAATATCAAATCTTGTCTCAAAACCCAAGTGATAAACCACGTAACTTACATAAAGCACATCCCCAAGGACGTTCTAGAATGATTTGGAACCATTTGACCAAAAGTCAACTGTTGGTCAAAGGTTAATAGCCGGGTCCACAACCCTAGGAATTCAATTTGAGAGATCTACATATCTGATTTCAGATCCATAACCTCCTAAGGTCCACATTACGCTCATAGAACAACAAACTAAAATCTCATAGCAATCCAACTGTTAGATCTCCACCAATCACAAATTCAAGTGGCGGTCAATTAGATGATCAACTATGAAACTACATTAAAACATTAAAATTTCCCTAAACGGATGTCAAATATGGATTCAGAACGTCGAAAAACCATAAGATCAGTCCCGGCCAAAACTCGAAAAAAATTAACAAAAGTCAACGATCAATGCAGGGAATATCCCTATTCTTCAACCTCTCATTTGGTCGTCGGATTTTGCAGATTTTCTGGCAATCTTTAAAACTTCATATCTCACTTGTTCAACCAAATTACACTCATAATATACCAAAACGAAGCTAGAGAATTGTAGATCAAGATTATACCTGCTTGAAGCCCAAATGGTGGCAGGAAAATGGCTGTCCGCGAGAAAACGAGTAACTCGCTGAAATTTCTAGGCAAACTTTAAACGTCCATAACTTTATCAATACTCAACAAAATTGAGTGATTCAAAAACAAAAATCATAGCTTGGAATGAGGCAAACAGATTGGTACCTTTCTTGATGGCTAACTCACCATGGTTTGGCTGAAAAATGATCTGGAAGGTTACGGTTTCGCCGGAAACTGGGCAAACTTTAAATCGTTATAACTTTCTCATTTTTCAACCAAATCACACAATCCGAACATGAAAATTTATCTAATCGACGAGAGGAATCGATTTATACCTGCTTTGAGTTCAAAAGATGGTTGAAAAATTATCTGAATCACACCTATAAGTCTCGACTCTCGGCCCAAAACCTTGTTCTTCGAACTCGTGTTTCGGGTTCGTTTTCAATGAAACAAAAATCACAACAGAGTTTATGGTGGTGAGGACATGCAGATAAATGTGGTTTTGGTGTTCAACAAGCCAAAATTTTCGTGGTGGTGGTGGTTTGTTCACGGGAAGAAAGGGAGAGCCGAGACAAAATGAGAGAACTCTCATGAGAAAGAGAGAACGGGAGAAAAAAGAGGGGAGAAGAGAGTTTCAGAATTTTTTGGGTGCCCACGTGGCACTCACCCAATTGTTAGACAAAAATATCACATGTCCAATTAATTATCAATTTATCAAAATATCTTCAACATTCAAAATCTCATAAAATCTTCATTATAATTCTTAATCACTTTCCATTTGCGCCCACACGTTCATATCAATGAGTACTATCCAATTATATAAAGATAAGTGGAAAAATACATAGGGATCAAATACGCCGTAAATATAAAAGCGTTAACAGCGTTGAAACTAAGAATACGTAATGCGTAATTTTAATTAGTGAAATCCGGGAACGAGATTTCACAGTTATTGTCGAAATACGGAATACGTAATTTTAAATAATGAAGTATAAACTATTGTTGTATAAAAAAAATCATAAAAATCGTAACTCTAATCCCCCACACTTAAACGTCCTTGTGTCTTATTAAAGAATAATGCTACACTTACTCCATATTTATATCATCATTTTACCCTCCCTCTCATAAAAATTTTAAGAGGATGTCTGATAACTATTTCGCTTTCAATTTTTAGTTTTTATACTTCAAATCTTATTTGGTAATTACTTTAAATTTTTCAGTTTTTAAATGAAAATTGAAAATACTTACCAAATAAGATTTCAATTTTTTTTTTAAATTGAACTAAAAACTGAAATTGAAATAGTTATCAAACGATTCATAAGAATATTTTTGCCTTTGCCAACTCAATAAACTTTTTAAACTTACAAAAGATTCAAACAATGGTGGACTGCTTTAGCTCACAAAACTCAACTCCAATGGAAGCCCAAAGTTTCTCCTTTTCCTTAAAGGGTCATTTGATAATTATTTCTCCAACTCCCCCATTTCTTCGTGAATCCTCACTCTTACAATGCTATAAATTTAGGAAAATCTAGGATTTCACGGAATTTGGCGATTCGGTGGTGAGTTGGGTGCATCTCTAATCAATTACACAAAAGTTGAAGAAAGAAATGAAAAACGCACACGGGTCACCATAAATTAATCGATGTCGTCCTTGTGGTTGTTGGGGAGACTTTCTCATCAACCAAATTACAGAGAGACTTACAAGTACGGTTATCTCTGCAAAAGCTGAGGTGACTTACTCGCTCACTTTGAGAAGAGCTTCATACTGAGTAGGTTCCCATTCATCCTTGTGGTTGTCGGTGAAGGAGAGGAAAGGAGATGTTGGGGAAAGTGAGAAAGAGGAGGGAGAGAGAGAGAGAGAGAGAGAGAGAGAGAGAGAAAAAAAGAGATGAGGGAGAAAAAAGAGAACAGGGAATGCATTTACCGAGGGAAATAAAATGTCCATACATGAATTAATTATTTTATTACTAAGAATATTAAATAAAATAATGATTAAAAAGCTAAACTAGCAAAATTGAAAAAAACTAAACATTAAATAAATTTTAAAAATGTTAGAATAACATTAAATGGATTTTAAATGTATAATTATAAACATTTTTATATACAAATAATTTACATTCTTTAACAAATTTAGAACGAATCAAATATCGTACCATCTATGTCTCCTCTATTGCGAATGATACTATAAGTTACTAGCGAATCCCATAAACGAACCAAACTGCGAACTTGAACTAACTATGGACCAACCAAATCATTTCTAATCAAATAAAAATAAATGATTTTTGTGTTTGAACAGTGGCTTACATAATATACATCGGATACATTTTCTCGGTAACCAAACATAATTGAGGAAAGGAAAATTAAGAACCTTAACAATGATGTCACATCCCAATCTCGACTCCACCATATCACGATATTGTCCGTTTTGGGCCCCCGGCCACGCCCTCACGGTTTTGTTTATGGGAACTCAGAAGAGAACTTCCCGGTGGGTCACCCATCCTAGGATTGCCCTTACCCGAACTCACTTAACTTAGGAGTTAAGATGGAACCCGAAGCCAGTGAGTTCCCAAAAAGTCTCGTGCTATAGGGAGGGGAGCATGTACATATAAGGCACATCACCCCTTCTCCGTTGGTCGATATGGGATGTTACAATCCACCCCCTTAGGGGCCCGACATCCTCGTCGGCACACTCGCACCACACAGCAGAGTGGCTCTGATACCATTTTGTCACATCCCAGACCGGCTCATCCATAGCACAATTTTGTCCGCTCTGGGCCCCTTCTATACCCTCACAACTTTGTTTCTGGGAACTCAGACGAGAACTTCCCAATGGGTCACCCATCATAGGATTGCCCTTACCCGAACTCGCTTAACTTCGAAGTTTCGATGGAACCCAAAGCCAGTGAGTTCCCAAAATGCCTCGTGCTATAGGGAGGGAAACATGTACATATAAGACACATCACCCCTTCTTTGTTGGTCGATGTGGGATGTTACAATGGCTTTTATTATGAAACTAAACCAAAATAACCCATAATATTTCTGATACTAAACCAAAATAACCCAAGCTATTTATGGAACTACAACAAAATAACCCACACTATTTTTGAAACTACGGCAAAATAACCCAACTATTTATGAAACTGAGCCAAAATAATACACATTATTTCTGGAACTACAGCAAAATAACCCACACTATTTCTGAAACTTAACCAAAATAACCCATATTATTTATGGAGCTATAGCAAAATAACTCACATTATTTCTGGAACTGAACCAAATAAAATAACCCATACTATTTTTGAAACTACAACAAAATAACTCATACTATTTCTGAAACTACAGCAAAATAACCACACTTTTTATGAAAGTGAACCAAAATAACCTAAACTATTTCTAGAATTGCAGCAAAATAACCCACCATATTTCTGAAACTACAACTAAATAACCTCCACTATTTCTAAAACTTAACCAAAACAACCTATATTATTTATGGAACTACATCAAATTAGCACACACTATTTTTGAAACTGAGCCAAAATAATCTATACTATTTATGAAATTATAGCAAAATAATACACATTATTTCTGAAACTAAACCAGAATACTATAGATTACCACTAATTTAATTACAATACTATGGATGATATAGTAAATCCCAATGTGTTGCAAACTTATAGTAGTCTTAATAAACGAACCACCTACTATAAAACGAGTATACTGAAAATACCGCAAGAAAAAAAAATTTATTAGTACTAGAAACACTAAACACATGATTAGTTTAATTATATAATTTCCAAAAAATATTAGAAGTGATCTAATCTTTTTATAAGGAATAATATGATAGCACTAGCAAGACAACGGTTTTCACCCATCAGAAGAGAATTATACATTCAAAATAGAAAATAACAAAATAACAAACAAAAGCAATCAGTCAACATCTTAATGCTGAAATTCTGTTAATCGATATGGGATAAAGCTGGAGAGGTGGATGGGAAAGGAAGCTCAAATAATTCCTTGTGATTTGGAAAGTGCCATACAAAAGGGCATTCTGATTACCAAAAAAAACAACAAAAACAAAAAAAACAAAAGGGCATCATGTAGTAGTAAAACGCAGTAGTAAATATCACAACGCTCAGGGGTATATTGGAATACTAGAAAAAGGTTTGGGGTATATCAAAGCTCGGGTTGGATTGACTCAAAGCTCACATACATTTGACAGCGGGCTTAACCCTCGAGGGTTGTTAATCCTTCATTTAATTCAATAAGGGCTAGGTTTTCTTTCTATTAGGATAATTTTGGGAACTTATTTTTGTCCATGTTGGGCTCTGTAATTCAACCTATTTGGGTTAAAACTTGAACTTTGGGCTCGAGCAGGAGTTGGCCCAAAGGGAGGTCTGAAAAAAAGGGAAAGCCCGAAGCCCAGCCAAAGCCCAGAAGGTAGAAAAGGCATTTCTCGACTAGGTGCAGATCATTTGCACCACTTGCCCGACAAGCCCGCCAGTGAAGTAGAAGCCCGACATAAAGCATCAACCGGCGCCAACCTCTCGGGGAGCTGTGTGCTCGTCGGCTAAGAGATATCCCCGACATAAATTCTAGCCACGAACATAGTTTTGGCACGCCCGGTAGCATACATTTGATCAAAAGAAACATGTCAAAACGACCAGAAGATTTGCAAACTGCTTTGTTGCAAATGCCATAAAGACTGGAGAACGCTTCTGCAGGTTTCAGGCGGGAAGCCGACCTGGTTATAAAACCAACTATTCCTATATTTTTACCTCAACCTGGGGAAAAAAATGATAGGGAACAAGAGACACTTAAAACCAACCAGCCAGAGGAAGCAGTGATGGATAAACCTACGGATCCCTTCTCAGATGCCCCTATAAATATGATCAGTGTGGCCTGGGCTGAGAAGGGGAAAGAAAAGGTCACAAAGGAAGAAGAAAGAAGATTGGTTGACAAACCCACAAAATGGGTGGTCAACTTGCCTGAATATCCAAGAGCAGCCATAATCAAAGGGATGGTTCTGTGCAGTAAATGTCAATGCGAGTGTGAGCTCGAAATACCACCCGCAGGAGCCCTCATGGATCATGAACTAATCAGGAGGAATGAAGAAGAAAAAAGGAAAGAGGCACATGAGAAAGATAGGCGGACTGCGAGAAGGGATACTTCCCGAAGCGTTTTTCAACGGTTAGGAGGCGATTCCCAACCTAGGGCTTTGTCAGAGATATTTCGCAATCATGAAGTTTCTGAAGAGGCAGAAGATAAAGATGCCAAAAAGCTGAAAGAGATGGGTGTAGAGCACTCTCAGTACGGCCATATGGGAAGAGAAGTCAAGAGGAATGAGAGGATAACAAATCTTGTTAAAAAAGATAACCATGCCCGTCTCGGGCGAAAATGGTACGTGGTTGGGAAAAATGGACAGCCCGTTAAACAAATGGGAGCCTTCATGGTCAGAAGGGTCCAAAGGCAACACAAAGCCTACATGAACTCCTTAAAAATCCCTGCGACGTCGGAAGCATCCAAGAATCAAAAGTTGGAGAAAACGTCATCTGGGGGGAG